ATTGTTGATTCTCTGTTTGGCTTAGTTTTTCGGATCTTTGTTGTGGAGGGACAGCGTGGTGCTTCTGCCTAGAGCGCCATCTTGCCGGAGTCCTCCCTAAATTAGTGAGGTTTTATAATCCTAATAGCTAATATTTATGGAGTTCCAGGTACTTTAGTAAATAATATTTGTATGGCTTATGTTATTATTTTCTCATTTTAGAAACTGAGAAATAAAGAGTAAGTGACTTGTTTAAAATCATACAGCTATTGTCATGGATTGAATTGTGTCCCCCAAAAATGTCTGTTGGCTTGACTGGTCATGATGATTCCCAGTATTGTATGATTGTGTAATCTAATGTGATTTCCTTATGTGTTGTAAACTCTACCACTATGATGAGGTTATATGTGATCTCCTTATGTGTTATAAATTCTATCACTGTGATGAGGTCATGCTAATGAAGTTTATGAGATTAGATAGTGTCTTAATCCAATCTCTTTTGTGATGGAAAAGAGAGAAGCGAGCAGAGACACATGGGAACCTTACACCACCAAGAAAGCAGTGCTGGGAGCAGAGTGCGTCCTTTGGACCAGAAGTTCCTGCGCTGAGATGCTCCCAGACCAAGGGAAGATTGATGACATGGACCTTCCTGCAGAGCTGACACAGAAAGTGTTCCCCTGGAGCTGACACCCTGAATTTGGACTTGTAGCCTACTGGACTATTAGAGAATAAACTTCTCTTTGTTAAAGCCGTCCACTTGTCGTATTTCTGTTATAGCAGCACTAGATGATTAAGACAGCTATTAAGTGGTGGACTGGGCCTTGGACTTGGATTGACTCCAGAGTGTGTGCTGTCAACTACACTGCCTCTGTCCCTTCCGTTTAAAACTATAAATACAAAAAGCAACCAACTGTTAACCTCTCTATCTGTTCCATATGTTCTTATGTTTCACAAATAGAAAGCACCGTTCCTTACATTTTTTCTCCATGTGCTAAGTATTTTCTCCTTTTTCCAGAGTAAGCCAAATTTCAAGGTTCAAGGTACGGTCCTCCAGATTGCTAAATCTCCCAGGCTTCTGACACCAACTGCAATCTTTGGGTTTTCCCAAAGCCACCCTCAGGCTTGATAATTAGCTAGAAAGACTCACAGAACTCACTGGAAATTATTATACTCATTAGTAAGGCTTATTACAGGGAAAGGATACAAATCAGAACCAGCCAAAGGAAGAGAGGCATAGGACAAATTCTGGGAGGAGTCCAAATTTGGAGCTTCTAGTCATCTTCTCCCTGTGGAGTTATGGATGGCATTACTTCTTACCAGGTATGATGTGTGGCAATACACACAGAGTATTGCCAACCAGAGAAGCTCACCTGAGCTTCAGTGTGCAGAGTTTTTATTGGGGCTTCATTACATAGATATAATTGATTGCTTGATTTCCCACATGGTTGAACTCAATCTCCAGCACTTCCTCCTTGGAGGTCGGGGTGACATCACGTGGCCCAAGGGACCCACTATGACACCTTGTTGGCATAAACTATCAAATGTGGTTTAAGGGACCCACCATGAATAATAAAGACACTCCAATTACTCAGAAAATTTCAAGGGTTTAGAGGTTACCTCATGGGAGCCAGGGACCAAGGCCCAACTTGTCTTTGGGAGAAGCCTAATTCTTTACTGTACATCCTTTAATTACTTTTATGTTTTTTCCATGAACTTCTGAGCTTTCAAAATTCCATGAACTTCTGCTGATCTCCCTTTGAATTTTTTCTTTTTTAAATAAAATTTAGCATCTCATGTGTGAGTTTCAGTGTTCAGATTGCTTCTGATAGTTACTGCCCTTTATCAAATGAGTAACTTCTCTGAGCTTTTGTTTTCTTATCCATCTCTCAGAGTGGTTGTGAGGAGAAACTGAAATGATGCCATTAATCCCTAAGAGAAACACAAATAAAGTTGTTATTTTGTTTGAACATATATGACAAATGTAGGAAGAAACCTAGTCTATTACAAAGCCTAGTTAAAATAAAACAAAAGTTTTTTACTCCTATTTGTTGTACAAAACAGGCATCTTCCAATAATGAATATTCATTTGCAACCAGTTATTGTGGACATTCAGTAGGTGATTTGAGAATCTGTCAATAGCGATTTATTTACATCATTTATATAATTTATTTACATCAACTGGACCTTTGAATTTATTGATCAGTAGGAAAAAAATGATCAAATATCCAGGTTTAGATCTTTCAGTTTGCAAAAGTTCAGCGTTAAAGGCATGAGAGTGATTTGTGCATCTTTTACAAAAGCCATTTTTCCAAGTATGTGGATCCAGGTGTTTTATTAATGCATTAACTTAATGCTTTCATTAAATGCATGTACCTATCTCTGACAGGACTCCTAGAGTCTTGTTGCCCAGCACTCTACAGAGGTGAATAAGCTGATGACACTACCATTATCTAAAGGATTCGTTGTAATCAAGACACAACTTTTAACATTCCACAGGAAAATAAAGCCATCATTTCTATATAGGAGCTAATATGCTACCTTCCATGCTTTCTTGAATCACAATTAAAAAGGATTGTATTTTTATGTTATGTCTGAGGGAACTATCAGAAAAGTAATGTGCATTGTAATACGCTGTTAGCACTTATTCTGATGCTCCCTAAGCCAAGGAGAGGATGAAAAATTCGTTTTATAGAATAGAATGAATACATCAGTATCTACAATGTGTGGTTTGTTCTTACTGCCTTTGGAAACACTTATTTAGGTCACCAATTATTTCTTTGTTGGCAGATTTACTGACTTTTTTCTTTCTTACCTCACTGTTGTATTTAACTCTTAGCAACACTCTCTTTTTTTAACCAGTTAAGAAGAGTTTAATAAACGCAGAAATGAAAGAGGAGAGAGAGAGACAGGATGAAAGAGATGGATACAAAATAAGAGAGGGCGAGAGGGGAAGACGAGCACAAGTGACTCTGTGTGCCCATGAGCTTCTCTCATGCCACAGTGCCACAAGCTTCTTCATTCTCCCCAACTAAAAAATCAAACCCATTGCCATCAAGTCGATTCTAACTCATAGTGACCCTATAGGACAGAGTAGAACTACCCCAGAGGGTTTCTAAGGAGTGCCTGGTGGATTTGAACTGCTGACCTTTTGGTTAGCAGCTGTAGCTCTTAACCACTACACCACCAGGATTTCCATTCTATTCCCACCAGTAAGTGACATTTCCCAAGGCTCAAGATTTTACCCACAACTTGTTTCTTATATTATTAGTAGTTTCTCCTCCAGACCATTATCTGTTTTGTGGTTACAGTTATCAGGCTTATGTCTAAGACTTAAATATAAAATCTGCCCTTTCCTTTCTTTTGAACTTCAGTTCTACACTGCTAACAGATATTTTCAAGCACAGAACACATATATTGTCATTTTAGAAAAACTGAGAATGCTGAAAATCATAAAGAGGAAAATTAAAATATAAATTTTAAATGTGTAATTTTCTTTTAGTATTCTCTATAATGCACTGGCAGTGTTTGTATTATTTGCATATGTTGATTAACAGTTTTTAGTGGTTCTTTTGGGAAAAAATAAAGGGGGATGCCTTCAAATCATATTTTACCAAAATCTAATTGCCAGATGTACTGTTCCTGAGGGTTTCTGATCCGTACCACTGTAACAGTTGAAGTCAATTTTTGTTGTTTTTCTGTTAGTAGAAAGTATTGTGGTGGTATAGAGATATTTCTTTTATCTTTGATTTAGCTCTTTTTTGTAGGAATGAAAATATAAATTAAAAGATCTTAGTTATCTTTAATATAAACCTGGACTATTGGACAAGCAATTAATCCAAATAAATTTGCCTATTATAATAACAGCAGTGCTAACTATCGCACATTATTCCCACATGTGCTTTACACATAACTCCCAAGGCAAGTATTAGCATCCCCACTCTATATTTGAGGAAATAAGACTCAAAGGAGTTAAATAATAAATGATAGAACCAAGGTCACACAGATAATAAATGATAGTGCCAAGGTTTTTCTTCAGAAGCACCCTGGGACAGAATGGCCTTGGTGATCCAGTAAATAACCAACAGTTCAGCCCCAGTGAGAGCAGAGATTTTTGTCTGTTCACTGCTGTAACTCAAGTGCCTAAAACAATGCTTAGAGCATTGTAGATACTAAAAAAATTTTTGGGTTTATTCATCTTTTTTTTTAAAATAATTAATTGTGTTTTCAGTGAAAGTTTACACAGCAAATTAGGTTCCCATTTGACAATTTCTAATTTCTACACAAATTGTTCAGTGACATTAGTGGATTTATTCATCTTTTGAATTCTATTTTTCTTTATTTCAGAAAAGATTAAAGGTGGTGCTTCAGCTATCTGTCATGAGTAACAAATCACCCTGAAACTTAATGGCTTAAAACAGAAGTATTTATTTGCTTGCAATTCTGCAACTTGGGCAGGGCTCAGCAGTGATGGTTCATCTCTGCTCCCCATGATCAGCTGGGAACTTGGCAGAAGTCAGACTATCCAAGATGGCTTCTCATCCTCCAGGGTCCCTTGCCACATGAGTTGTTATCATCTAATAGAAAAGCAAAAACAGAAGGTACCATGCCTCTTAACGGCTAGTCCTGCGACTGGCACAGTGTTACTTGTGCCACATTCTGTTGGTCAAATTAAGGCACAGAGCCAGACCTATTTCAAGGAGAGGAGAAATAGGCTCTGCCTCTTGATGGGAGGGATAGCATGTGTGTATCAGGAGGGGAAGCATTGTTGGTGGCTATCTTTGGAGATGTTCTACCACAGGTGGCAAAGGAAAGTAACTCAACTTTGAATTTGGGATTAACCCTTACCACCTTAGTTCTTGATGAAGGAAACTTTTGATCTTCACAGCGAGAAAGATATCCCAGAAGAAAATCCTCATGTGGCAAGGTTTATATGTAATGCCAAAGCTTTCCTACCATTTTTACATAATGTTTACCACTTATGCTAAAATCTATCTCTAGATAATTCTCATTTTATTTTTCAGTTGCTACAAAACTATTATAAGTGGAGAGAAGAATGTCCAGAAATAAGTGCAGACCTACACCCTGAAAGTATCCTTGGCCTTCTGAAGGCAGGCTACCTTGGAGTCTTGAGATCCAGGGATCCCACTGGCAGCAAAGTTCTTATTTACAGAATCGGTATAGTACACAGCACTTTTTTTTTCTTTGACTGCTATATAAGGAAAACAACAACAGCAAGCCATATAGAAAGCTTCAATGAGCCCATCTTTTTTTAAAAAACTTATTATTGTAAAAATATACAGGTAGTCCCCGACTTACAATGTATTTGAGTTATGATGAACTGCACTGCCTTTTTTTTCAACATCTTATCATTAGTAATATACACTGCATGCAACATTTTAGTGCGTAATTTGCTGAAGTTATCATTTTCAGATGTTCACTGGCAGATGTTCAATTTTACGATTTACTGTTTAAAACACTGCTGTATAGCAGGCTATGGCCTGATCTACAATTAAGTAGGAGGCAGTGTCGGGAGTTGTGATGCATAGAAAGTTGGGCAATGTTCAACTCTAATGACATATGACAGTTGAACTGTGCATATGCCTGTCTTAGGCTGGGTTCTCTCGAGAAGCAAAACCAGTAAAACATATAAATATATACAAAGAGAGAGATTTATATCAAGGAAATGGCTCACGCAGTTTTTAGAGGCTGTAACATCCCAAGCCCGTGGGGCAGGAAAGAGGTTTCTCCTGATTCGTGTAGCTGCCGTGGTTGGTGAACCCAAGATCAGCAGGCCAGAAAACAGGGCTGTTGCAGGCTTCTCCCAACTCATGTAGCCACAGGGGCTGGCAAACCCAAGATCTGCAGGCCAGAGAGCAGGGCTGTTGTTCAGAGGCTGTGAAGATCGATGAATCTCAAGATCAGCAGGCAAAATCACAGGTAAGCTGCTAGCTCAAGTCCCAAGAACCAGAGGTCAGAACAGGAGCCAACTGCAGGATGCAGAACAAGCAAAAGCCCTGGCAAGGAAAGCAGGAAGGACTAGGTGGCAGAGGGTGGAGAGATGAAGGCTGAGGGGCTGGTGAGCTGCCACAGGCCCTGGCCCCGCCAGTACCACTCTCAGCGTATCCCATCGTGGGGGTGGTCACGTATCAAATCTCAACATGGAAGTGATCAGAACATTATACAACTGCCAAAACACTGAGAATCATGGCCCAGCCAAGTTGACACACAGTCTTAACCACCACAGTGCCTGACAGCCATTACAACTCTGACTTCATTGTAGACCAGGCCTATAGCATGATCTTATTCAGCGTTTCATACTGTAAGAAGCATCAGTTGTTAATTTGAAGCCGGGTTATTCAAGTTTCTCTAACTATAACCCCTACACTGCTTATACTCCAAAAAATATGTCTAGTAAAAGAAGTCATGCCACTGGAAGTTGCAATCTAAAAAGAAAGGTGAGGAAGTCTCTAGACATAGATATAAAGATGAAGATCATTAAGGCTGTGATAATGGAAAGAAAGTTGGTGAAATAGCACGTGAAAAGGACTGTCTCATTTGACCATTCTGACAATTATTAAGGATTAGAATAGGATTTTGGAGGCAGTTAAAGGAGCAATTGGCATAAAGTCAACAATTTTAACAAAGAAGAGGCAAAGGCCAATCCACGAGATGGAGAAGCTGTTGATGATTTGGATAGAAGACCAAATCCAGAAGAGGATTCCTATGAGTTTAATGACAATTCAAACAAAAGCATGCTGCCTTTTTGAAAACCTGAAGGAACAGCAAGGCGAAGACTACCGGGAGTACTTTAATGCCAGCAAGGGCTGGTTTCATCGCTTCAGTCGCAGATTTGGCTTACATAATATGTATATAAATGGAGAAAGAAATAATAAGGAAGAGGAAGGAGAGAGGTTGTCAAAAAATTTTACAGTGAAAGGATTAGTTCAGGTTTTTTCTAAACTAAATCAGAGGCTTCAGTTGCTTGAAAACGTGGATCCAAACGCTGATTGCTTTGCTAGTATCGATAGGCAGATTTGGGAAGGAGTGAGATGTTACCACAAAATATATGAAGAAGAAAAGTAAAGGACCATACAGACAATTCTCACTGATTTTCTCACTAGAAACACCATCCCCATTCCCAGGGATAATCCAGATTATCCAGAACCTTCCACAAGTGACATTATTAATGCAACTGACAAAATGCCAGTGTAGTCCAACTCTTCTTCATCATCAGAGTAAATTTTTAAAATTTGTGTATTTTTTATACATGTATTAACATTTATCTCTAAGTTTATATGTAATATTTCAAACCCCCAAAGACAAATAAGGATCGTATTTACAAAGATACTGATAATAAAAGGCAATAGTAATAACTAAAAAAATAAAGTATTCGACTTTAAATCAGAACCGACTTATGATGGAGTAGAATGGTACCACATTGTAAGTTGGAGGCTACCTGTGGATAACACAACAGTTGCCAATTCAGCATTTTTCAGGTATACAATTTAGTGATATTGTCTTAGTCATGTAGTGCTTCTGTAACAGAAATACCACAAGTGGAAAGCTTTAACAAAGAGAAATTTATTCTCTCAGTCTAAGAGGCTAGAAGTCTGAATTCAGGGAGCTCCAGGGGAGGCTTTCTTTCTCTGTTTCTTCTGGGGGAAGGTCCTTGTCATCAATCTTCCCTGGTCCAGGAGCTTTTCAGTGCAGGGACCTCGGGTCCAAAGGATGCACTATTCTCCTAGATCTTGTTTCTTGGTGGTATGAGGTCCCCCTGTCTCTCTGCTCACTTCTCTCTTTTATATCTCAAAAAGGATTGACTTAAGACACAACCTAATCTTGTCAATTATGTCCTGCCTCATTAACGTAGCTGCCTCTAATCCTCCCTCATTAACACCATATAAGCAGGATTACAACACACAGGAAAATCACATCAGATGATAAAATGGCGGACAGTCACATAATACTGGGAATCATGGTCTAGCCAAGTTGACGCATATTTTGGGGGGACACAATTCAATCCATGACAGATAGCAATTACGTTAATCATGTTGTACAACCATCAGCCATAATCATTGTCAAATTTCATATCATCATAAACAGAAACTCCCTGCTTCCTAAACAATGACTCCCCCTTTCCCACTCCCTCTAGCCCCTGGTAACCACTAATAAGCTTTGGTGTTTAAAGATTTGCTTATTCTTGATATTTCTTATGAATGAGATCATATGATATTTATTCTTTTGTGATCTACTTATTTCACTCAGCATAATATTTTCAAGTTTCAATGAGCCCATCTCTAAGAATTTAGATTTTAATCCATTTCCTGCATAACTGCCTTCACTAGGTACCATCTCTGTGCAGTAAAAGCAATGAAAAAAGGCACAGAGCCTTTTCCTCCACTCCAGCAAGGCAACTCCAAGATTAATAAAGTGAAACTGAGCTTTGGCCATCATTAGCTTACAAGCCAGAAGATATAGTTGTATGTCTTTTGAGACTCACTGCTATATGCCTTATACTACAGCAACAAAAGAAAATTTAACCATGAGTGTTAACAGAGTCACTATACCAAAAAGAATTGGTCGACGTTCCACCATTTCAGGAGGTAGCACATAATCAAGAACTGATGGTATTGAAGGAAGAAGTCCAAGCTGCACTGAAGGCACTGGCGAAAAACAAGGCTCCAGGAATTAACAATACCAATTGAGATGTTTCAACAAATGGATGCAATGCTGGAAGCACTCACTTATCTATGCCAAGAAATTCGGAAGACAGCTACCTGGCCAACTGACTGGAAGAGATGCATATTTGTGCCCATTCCAAAGAAAGGTGATCCAACAGAATGCAAAAATTATCCAATAATATCATTAATATCACATGCAAGTAAAATTTTGCTGAAGATAATTCAAAAACAGTTGCAGCAGTACATTGACAGGAAACTGCCAGAAATTCAAGCCAGATTGCTAATGTCAGATGGATCTTGGCTGAAAGCAGAGAATTCTGGAAAGATGTTTACTTGTGTTCGATTGACTATGCAAAGGCATTCAACGGTGTGGATCAGCATAAATTATGGTAACACTGCAAAGAATGGGAATTCTAGAACACTAAATTATGCTCTGAGGAACCGGTAAGTAGACCAAGAGGCAGTCTTTCAAATAAAGCAAGGGGATACTACATGGTTTAAAATCAGGAAAGGTGTGCCTCTGGGTTGTATCCTTTCACCATACTTATTCACTCTATATGCTGAGCAAATAATCTGAGAAACTAGACTATCTGAAGAAGAACAGGGCATCAGGATGGGAGGAAGACTCATTAGCAACCTGTGTTATGCAGATGACACAACCTTGCTTGCTGAAAGTGAAGAGGACTTGAAGCACTTACTGATGAAGATCAAAGCCTACGGCCTTCAGTATGGATTATACCTCAACATAAAGAAAACAAAAATCCTCACAACTGGACCAATAAGCAACATCATGATAAACAGAAAATACTGAAGTTGTCAAGGATTTCATTTTATTTCGATCCATAATCAACACCCATGGAAGCAGCAGTCAAGAAATCAAATGATGATGTATTGCATTGGGCAAATCTGCTGCAAAACACCTCTTTCAAGTATTGAAAAGCAATGATGTCACTTTGAGGACCAAAGTGCACCTGACCCAGGCCGTGGTATTTTCAGTCACCTCATATGCATGCCAAAGCTGGACAATAAATGAAGAAGACAGAAGAAGACTTGATGCATTTGAATTATGGTGTTGGTGAAGAATGTTGAATATACCATGGACTGCCAGAAAAAGGAACAAATCTGTCTTTGAAGAAGTACAGCCAGAAAGCTCCTTAGAAGCGAGGATGGTGAGACTTCATCTCATGTACTTTGGACGTGTTATCAGGAGGGACCCACCGTTCCCTGGAGAAGGACATCATTCTTGATAAAGTAGAGCATCAGCAAAAAAGAGGAAGACCCTCAACAAGATGGGTTAACACAGTGGCTGCAACAATAGGCTCAAACATAGCAACCATTGTGAGGATGGCACAGGACTGGGCAGTGTTTTGTTCATTGTATATAGGGTCGCTATGAGTTGGAACCAACTCAACAGCATCTAACAACAACAACATCAACTTTGACTATGGCTTACTGCTTATGAGTACAGGCTCTGGGGACCACTGCCAGGGTTGG